GGTCAAATGAGATACACGGGTGATTTATGCACGAACATAATGATAAACAGTCAATGGACCATCAACGCAAACAGAGCATGAAACATCACAGATTGTGCTCGAACGTAGCCTGGTGCACCACGCGCAGCCCGTAAGCGCGCCTAACCGGCCCTGCAGCGGTCCCGGTTGACAACGGGGGAGACACGCGAGTCGACGGGATCCCGAAAGCCCGAGCATTGCTGGCATCAACGCGTCTGTGAGTCTCAAGCCTCCGGACTCGTCCTGGCTTCAGCACCAGATTTGGGCTTGAGATCTAAACAGCCGAACCCAACGGACCAAAGAAGACACTACAGCCCGAGCGCCTTGGGGTCAGGATAATACCGATATCAAAACAGCATTTCAACAAGATGCGGTCAATCCTTCGCCGCCAGCTGGCTCCAATTTCGTTGATGACCAATGGCAGCACGACCAACGGTGACAATTTCCTCGCATCCTACCGGACGTGCCAAGAGAACGAGCCAAACCAAACTTGGCGGAAATCCCATCTCAGCAGCTACGCCCCTTTCGTGGCTGTCGCCAGCAGCTCACGTGCTATGGCCACGCGCCGCATGTGGCCCACTCACACCTTGGCCTTGGACTGGACGGGCAAGTAGAGCTTGAACTCTGCGGGCAGCTCGTCCTCCGAGTAGAGCCGGTCCGAGAAGTAGATGCGCCGGATCCGGCAGTTGGCATGGATCTGCACACGCAGCGTCTCCACGTAGTTGGTGCCGTAGGCGCGCCGCGTGAAATCAGCCAGGTTGAACTGGATCTGCGCGGCGGAGAGGGTACGATCACGATACGGTGCAGCTTCCGGTCACGAGTACTCAGTGCTGTACAGACGCTGACCTGTGTTCTTTTGTAACGCCCCCCTCGCATACACACATACGCACACACACCAACGTTGCTTTGGGCATCTCAATGCCGGCTTCATTTATACAATATTTCCCCCCTGAAATATTGCAAAAACTATGAGAATAATTCAACAACACACAAGGCCTACTCTTCTTGGTCAAAAATGCCGGGTCATTCCTAATATGCTGCTAATGACTTCCAGACGGTTCAGTCAGCGTGTGAAAACTGTATGTCAGAAAAGACTGCGACAGTAGTCTAACAAGAGAAAAGCTGATACGCACCACCACTTTTCTTGTTAGATGCAGTGGAAACCCATGGTGTTTGAAGCCTTGCACGTTAGAGATCATGATCGTGCCATCGACAGACACGTCGACGAGGGATGTACTCTCGCTGTGTAATGGACAGTCTCCGGCACCCAGGGCGTAATGTAGTGCAAGAGGCCAGGGGCAAACGCCTTTGTCAAACGTATCGGTCACATAGCGTCCGTCCTTAGACGTGATTCGGAGCAGATTTGGCAAGGTGTGCATCATGGCACCCTAGGCTTACCCCTTCCTGAACCCTTCACACAAACAATGCTTCTTCTGTACTCTTAAAGGGAATGTGCTAGATTTGGAGACATTGAAGCACCAGATGTGATGAAATGAGCTCACTTATAACTATTCATACACTCTTGTGTGGAGAAGACTGCTCTAACCACCATAATTTCTCTGTTTAGTAAACATGCTCCTCCACATGTCATTACTATGTCACCATACCTTGCATAACATTGATTGGGAGCCAGTTAACGGCCGCTGTATCTGGAAATGGTACCCAGGAACGCCAGACATCAACGACTCAACAATTATGCCTTTCTTGGCCTTAATTGCTGCATGGCCATTGAAATGACAGGGCTTAAATGACATTCTTGCCATATCATCGATGCCTGGGTGACCTAAAAATAGTCTGCACGAAAAAATCTGCACACCTTCGCGGCCGTGTAGCTAAGAAGCTAGATGGGTTCAGGTCTTAAGGTCAGGGCTGTGAACTTATAAACTGAATACTAATCTGCACATTTCACATTAACTGAAGTTCTATAACACCAACTACAAGCTTACTAAGCAGCAGCATTTGACTGAAGATGGCAAACGTTTCTGCATGTGAGGAACCATCGATTTGTAACCATTGGCACACCTGGCTCCATCGATGACACCAAGCTGGTCGCATACAACACGTGATTTACTGGCGATAATGAACTGGGTTCAACACACTTGAACTGCCCGGTTTTACTGCTCACCTGGTTCCAGCCATCATCCAGTCGCATGGGCATCGTACAGATGAACGGCTTGACTCGGGTCGTGGACTGGTAGTTGGACGCCCGGAAGCGCCGGCGCACGTTCTTGTCATCCAGCACCTGAGCGAAAGAGCATGCACTACTCAGTGCAACAACAGTACCAATGGAAATTCAATTTTGTTATTGTCTCAGTCTGTCGTGTTGTGTGGGCCATGGCTCTAAGTGTAGCTTAGGATGGGTTCTACCTGTGAAGTGACCCAGTTCAGTCTATCTTCATCCTATGAAGAACTGATCTCTGCAAGGGTCCTAGTTAGCAAACAACTCCAGCCAAGATGGGTTTAACTCCATGACAGCTCACAAAATGTCATTTATGATGAGCTGGAGACTTTGTAATGGAAACAAGAGTATGGTATACAGTAGACAACTTTGAAAAAGCCTCACATCTGCCCCTTCACTGTCAATTAACAACACGCCTAATAGCTTTTGGATCAGACTGCGCTGAGGTGGACATTGGCTAGCGATATGTACATCTGTACACCATTAAGTTTTCCACACTGTGCAACCAGACTCATGTGCTATCTTCTCATGTTGCTGATATACAACATAAACTACTAAGAATGCCCCAAAATGCTGGCCAGTCTACCAAAACATTTTTTCCACTTTTTATGCCCAATCTTTGTCCTGATTTCCTTTCATTATGATGTCAAGCATGTACCATTTCCACACTTGCATCATGCATAGGCTATTAGCAAAATGTTTAAGCATGACATGTCAGAACATCAGTCAGATTCAGCCAGTTTGTATTTCAAACTATGGGTGCTGAAAGGCTGTGCAGTCATGCCCCCTAGAGCTCAAATGGCCAACCAGAGCTTCAAACCATAGCGAGCCAACCATCCAGCAAAAGGTAGGCAAAATAGCTGTGATGTCTCAGGGTGCCAGTGCACCACTTCCCACAAACAATTTGAGAAACATTCATAGTGCGCAGGTCAGGTTACATCAAACTAGTGAAAGTTGTAATCTGCCTACACAGCCCACATTCCAATGACAAATTCTGGGTCCAGCTTATTATGCTTGTAAACTGCATACAGTCTTATAAGCCACTTCCTCTTATATCAAGAACAAAACTGAAGAAAACTAAAATGTCACCTGACAATAGCTGGTTTATGTCCCCAACTACCATCACTTTACCTGGACTTCAAAAGTGAAATACTTCTTTAGATTTTTGATGATCATCACCAGGAAGGGGAGCTTGATTCCCAGGGTCTTCTTTGGGTCTGCCGGGCATGTGATGAAAGTAGTGCTGGGAAAAAAGTTGGTTGTGAAGAAGAAAATTGTCTATAAACACTGCTTCCCTGGTAACTGCACAGCCCACTATAGCTGTTTACTCCTCAGTCCAGGCTCAGGCAGCACTAATTTTCTTCCCATTCTCTGGCAGCATCCAAGTCACATGAAATACAAAATTTGACAAAAGTTTCTTTCTGGCTCTATTTTCCAAATCAGTCAAAATCTGGGGGGCCAAGGCATTTGATGTGTCCAGCTTAAGTAATAACAGGAAGACACACCCAATTTCATTAACAAAACTAAGCTCATGCCTAAGGCTACAGCACCATGGTTGGTTTTCAGTGTGTGGGCATGAATGGAAATAAACACTAGAAGCACCAACCTACCTGACATTTGTACCAACAATCTCCAGTACTAATGACTGGATATCATTGTCAGTTATCCTCTTGATGTGCCCATTGCGAACCTGGCAAAAGCAGGATACAGAGCTCAGTATTTTCAAAATCTATTGTGCAGCATGATTTTATGTTTGTTACAGTGCAAGGAGCTTCCAAAACCTTATATTTCTGTCTTCATTATATTAAGTACAAATACTTTCAACTCAGCATTGGTTTAAAACACCAGCCAGCTTGCATACCTCAGGTCATGATAGCTTGGCATTGATGTAATTGAACATCATCTAACACATATAACAAATCATTCTGAGCCTGGGCTTTGACTAGCAGAGCAGCATGACAGCATGACAAGGACTTCAGCTCATAAAAAACATCATATGCTATCCAACAAAAGTGGTGCATGCTACAGAATCGCCCAGAAACAGCAGTGTATGATGCCATATGAGCAAAGAGCACAACCAACAAGTGAGCATTTTCTGAGTACCTACACTCTGCACACTCAATGCCTTGAAAATATTACTACCCTACTGGACACTGCAAACGAACCGCATTGGACACTGACCTTTTTATCCCAGATTTGAAGTGGCTTACTTCCAATGCTGTACAATATCGAGAGGAATCCACTTTGAAATGTATTCTTGAACATATCTATACCTTCTCCTCAAACGTAAGTACCACGATCACTCGAACCCCAGCCGCTTTACAACGACGCGGCGGATGAAAATGAAGGAACACTGACCCCGATTCAATCTGCTCGAAAATATGCAACGGTCCGCGCAGAAATATTTTGGATGAATACCTTTCCTGCTATTAATTCGCACCGGTTGGGACACACGCGGTGGCAAACAATTCTCGCCAACCGTAAGTGCAATCCTAGTTACAAATGCGCTTCAGGAATCAGTATGTTAAATGCTTTGCATTACAGCCAATCAGCGTGGGCCTACTTGGTGATCTACCGCTTACGTGGGAGCGTGGAATGTTTAGTTTGTGGTATCCATGGAAACGACCAAGGCAAATATGACGCGATACTTGCGGTGATTGCGGTCGTGATTTGCGGCATTCGTGGCGCGCTACGGTCAACAGGGTAGAATGAAATGATTATGAGTGGGATTCGGTCAGCTCCTGCGCCTTGAGTCGGGTTGTGTCACCAGCAGTTGCACCTTCGATATATGTTTAAAGATCAGATGATTCTGTATGAAAGGTGATTATCCCTCGCACCGACGGCATTCAATGCGGCTTCCCTGCGTTTGGCCGGGCGAATAACCCTAAACGTTCACGGACGGACGAGCGCGGAAAATTGAACTTCGCGGAATACCAAACTCAGGCAAATTATTGACTGAACTATCGACCTTAGGCCAACAGCGGAGACCAGGAACTAAACGGGGTGATGAACGCTGGCCCATTTCCCGGTATTACAAGCGTGTAGAGGGTGTCAGATAAGCAAAGCTTAAGATTATCTAAAAATGGACAAAGATTTGCCTCGGCCAGACATACTGCGTCCCCTCGTGGCTGGGTCTCAAGACCTGTCGTCAACGCTATGTCATCTGTACGGAGAGCAGCATCGCCAAAGTTCGGCTGATGAAGCCATCATTGGCCACCTGGAGACGAGCCTTCCAGCGCGTCCGGACCCACTTCATGCCGACTTCGTAAACCAGCTAACGGAGCTTCGAGACGCGTATGTAAACACACGATCTAGTCTGCAGGACATTGAGCAGCATTTGCTGAAGGCACGTGCCGTCCGGCTGGTGGGCACACCAGCAGAGCCACCGGGGCCAGCCCATGCACCCTCTTTGGACGTGCTGCGGCAAAACAAGCTGCTCACCGCGCTCGACTCTTCCACACTTCGTAAATACCAGCTACTGGTGCCAGAGGACTTCTGTGCGCCTCCAATCCCCAGCGACAGTGAGCAGTCGAAAAAGCCCGCAACAGAGAAAAGACGCGAAAGCCGGCCATCGGCCGTCAGGACTTCTCTCGCCGGTTTGGAGACAATTTTGCCACAACTTGGTGACCAAAACCCGCGGGGTGGCCGGGCGAAGCTCAGCGGCACCGCCCAGGTGTTGCGTGCGGAGCCGCCCTCCCTGTGCCTCGACAGCTTCCAGGTGGACACCGACTACGAGCTGAGTCTGCGTGTCAAGAACGTGTCGTGTTCGCTGCTCTGGCTGCGGCTGGTGCCGCCGGCCACGCCACAGTTTCAGCTGACGCGGATCACGTTTCCGGGTGCGCAGTGTACGCTGGCGCCGGGCCTCTCGCTGGACGTCCGGCTGACATTCAGCGCCCGCCGCCGGCGCACCTACCGCGATCGCGTGCTGATAATGACGCCGCTGGGCGAGCTGGCCGTGCCGCTGATCGTCAGCCATCGGCCGCCTGTGCTACGCATGGACGCCAACATCGCGCTGGGCGAGGCGCTGGTGGGCTGCCGCAAGCGCCGTCGCGTGTTAGTCACCAACGAGGGAGGCCACGGACAGTTCTGCGTACTGCGCCGCGCCGCCTGGCCGGGCGCGCTGCCGGCAGGCGACGACAGCGACGGCGACGACGGCGGCGGCGGCGCGAATTTCGCTGTCCTCCCAAACCGCTTCACGCTCGACACGGGCGAGAGTGTGGAGCTGGAGGTGTCGTTCTTGCCGGTGGCGGCTAGCGCACACCGCGAGACCATGACGCTCGTCTGTGACAACGCGCAGGTTCAGCACGTTACGGTGCGCGGCTGTGGCGTGCGCGGCGGGGCCGGCATGGTGGCAGCGCGCGGCGAGTTCCACGAGCCGACGGTCGGGGAACGCGCGGACAAGTACTGCGCCCACTTCTTGCGCCTGCCGACCACGCTGCCGGAGCTGGAGTCGCGCCGCACACTCCGGCTGCGCAACACGAGCGGTGTCGAACTGGCCTATCGCTGGCAGAGCCGACCGGCCGCCATCGACGTGTACGGCACGGACGCAGCGGACGTGGCTGCTGGCTGCGACACGCGAGTGATGCCGTCACGTGGCACGCTACTGCCATTCCAGGAGGTGGACGTGACGTTCGCGTGCCGCACGCGCTGGCTGGGCGAGCGGCGTGTCGTTTGGAGCCTGCTGCTGGAGGGGCTGCCCGAGATGGCGCTGTCCGCCGACGATGTGCGTTTCGGCCCGGACGGGCAGCGCGCCGGTCTGGTGTCGCGCCTAGAACGGCGAGTGCATCGGCGCGCCGCCTCGGCCGGCTGCCTGCTGCGGCACGGCCGGCTGGACCTGCACGCACCGCCTCAGCGGCGCGCCGAGCGGTCACGCTCGCTGTCGCCGGCCGACGCGCGGCGCTTCTGGGACGTGCTAGCATACGAGGTGCAGACGCTGTGCCGCTGTGAGCCGCTGCCGCTGTCGCTGGAGCCGCCCATGCTGCGCCTGCCGGACCACGTGCCGTTCTGGACTCGTGTGAGCCGGTCGCTGGCGCTCGTCAACGACTCGGACTACGCGGCACCGTTCACATGGGAGACGTTGAGGCGCGGCGATCTGCTGGTCTGCGTGAGCCCCACCGAAGGTACGATACCGGCGCACAGCCGGCTGCCCACGACCGTGACGCTCTGGTCGGCGCGCGGGCTGCATCTGACCACCGAGCTGCGCTGCGTGAGCCGTCAGTTCCGGCGCTGCGTCTGCCTGCCGGTGGTGGCCAGCTTCCTCGGCCCTGAGGTCAGCGTCAGCACGCACCGGCTCGATTTCGCGCGCACGCGCGTCGGCGAACGCGCCGAGCGCCAGCTGACGCTGTCCAACACCACCAAGCTGCCGCTCGAGTGGCGCACGTCGCGGATCGTCGAGCGCACGTCCGAGCAGCCGGCCGAGCGGCGCTGGCGCTTCGACAGCCGCTCGGACCCGTTCTCGGTGAGCCCGACGGCCGGCCTGCTGCACGCTGGCGAGCAGGCGCTGGTCACGATCGGCTTCGAGCCGCGCGCGCCGGCCTCCTACGACATGGTGCTGGACGTGTGCGTGGAGGGCAGCGCGCAGAGCAGCACCGTGTCGATCGGCGCCGAGGCGTGCCACCTCTCCCTCTCCGTCACGCCCGCCTTCCACCGGCTGCAGGCGTACGTGGCCGGTACCGTGGAGCTGATGGTGCTCGTGACCAACACGTGCGACCTGGACGTGCCGTTCCGGTGGGACGTGCCGCCGTGTGACCAGGTGGAGGTGGAGATCGAGCCGGCGACCGGCGTCCTGCTGCCGTGGGCCACGCTGGTGTCGCAGATGAGCGTGACCGGTCTGCAGTCCGGCCCGTTCGGCTACTACTGCGTCCCGTGTCGACTGGCGGACGGCTCGGACGCCACGTACCTGACGCTCTACGGCGACGTGATGGCACTCTCAGCGTCGGTGCACATCGCACCCAACTGGGGTCACCGACCGACCGGTGTGCCCGACCTGGGGGAGGGCCGGGAGGTGTTAGGGCGCAGCCGGCGCCGCGAGCTGGAGCGACAGGCGCGCGAGGCTGAAGAGCTGGCGGCACGGGAAAAGGAGCCACCCCCTGAGAGTGGGCAGCAGGCGCCGCCGCCGCCAGAGGCGCCGCCCAGTCCCAAGACCAAGAAGGGTAAGAAGAAGCTGGTGAAAGGCGGCAAGAGGGGCAAGGGAAGGGGTGCTAAGAAGGAGGAGCAGCCCAAGCCTCCAGAGCCCGAGCCGGAGCCTGAGCCAAAAGAGCCAGAGCCACCACCGCCGCCGCCGGAGCCGACTGTGGAGGAGCTGATGGAGGAGTGGGAGTTGCTAGAAGCCGAAGACGCGGGCTGCGGCCCGCTCGTGCTGCTCTTTGGTCACGATGTGGACGTGCGCGCGGTAGTCGTCCGCGAGTTCCACGTGCGCAATGACACGCCGATCTCCACAACCTGTTCGGCACGAGTGCTGAATTTCCCGGGCCGGGAGCAGGAGCGCTGCGTCGGCGAGCCACCCTTGGCCGTCGAGGTAAGTCGGGTGACTCGATTTGATCATGTCCAGTCGCGGCTTTGTCAACGTACTACTTTTATAGCGTTGCTGTCGTGGATGACGCGACAAACATGAGTTTGAAGATGGAGCACATTTGGATTCACTGAACGCTGAGTGTGTGCATGCATGCATTCATGTATTTATTCCAGCTGCACAGTTTCCCTCCAAGAGTGTGCTACGAGGCCGTCATTGATTGAACCATGGAAATTAAAGTTGACACAATTTTGGATCAGTAATTCGGCTGTCACCTGCAGCCCTGCGACCAGCTGAAAAACTTAGAGTGATAACCTTAAGTTTTCCTTTTTTAATAGCGAAGCGTTCTTTGGAATAAGTCACTCTGAGTGTAGTAAGTTTGAAAGGATTTTCAACATTACGCTCCTTATTTCGCCAACCAACGAAATTCGCTATCTCCAAAACTACACCAACGTCTTGGCAACCAATACGGCTTACTATTCACTGCTTTGATGCCGTGGAGCATCACGTGTGACGACATACTATCCTGCTCGTGCAGGTGCGTCGCATCAACGACCTGGAACGGAAGGACGTGTGGTCGGACCTGCTGTCTGACGGCCGGGGGCTGGCGCTGCTGGTGCGGCCGGCCACCTTCCACGTGCCGGCGCAGAGCCAGACGCTGGTGCGCGTCTTCTGCTGCGCCGACATGTGGGGCTGGTACCAGGACCAACTGGTCGTGTCTGGCGACGGCATTCCCGACCTGTGCGTCGACCTGCGCGTCGGCGTCACCGGCTCGCCGGTGCTCGTGGTCAACACGGGCTCCAACCACGTGCGTTTCGGGTGCCAGTTGTACGGCGCGCCACCGGTCGAGCGCCACCTGTGCCTCAACAACGCGTCGCCGTGTCCGATCCAGCTGAATATGGCCGTGGCGCTGACGTCGCCGTGCGAGGCGCGGCCGCCGCCGTTCCGCGCGCACGTCTCGCTCGGCGCCGACTTCGAGCCGGCACTGAAGCTGTGGGAGTGGCGCACGCCGTCCGAGGAGTTGCGCCTGGGCCTTCGGCCCGTGTTCGGCGAGGAGGAGCAGGCCTACTACACGGTCACACCCGATGTGGTCGTGGTGCCGGCGCGCGCCAAGGCCTGGCTGCTGGTGCAACTGCACCCGGTATGCCTGCCGCCGGCCAGCTCACAGTGGGAGTGGAAGCGGCGCCAGCAGCCGCTGGACGTGGTGGCCTGGCTAACGGCGCACATGTCGCTGCGGACGCAGGACCAGACCCCCGACGGCGGCCACGTCACCCGCGCGCACGGCTACCGGCGCCGGCCGCTGCAGGTGCAGCTGCGCGCGCAGCTGCGCACCGCCTATCTGGACGTGACGTACCCGGAGCCGGCGGCGGTCGGGCTGCGGCCGGCTCCCGTGCTGGCCGGGCCGGAGGAGGCGGTGCGCCTGGTGGCGCCCGTCACGGCGCTGGTGGAGGGGCCGCGCCGGCCGCGCCTGCTGTCGCGCCTCACGCTCACCAACCGCCACCAGGTGGACGTGGAGGTGCTGTGCTGGAGTACGCTACCGTTCGTGGTGGTGCGCGCCGCCTCGCCGCGCGGTACTGTCGAGTGGCCTGATCGCTGCACCGTACCGCGCAGCGGCCACACTCAGCTGACGATCGAGTTCGTCTGCTCGCGTGCGCTGCTGCGCTTCTGCCTGACGGAGCAGCTGGCTGGGCCGCAGCGCGTGCGGTTCTCGTCCAGCGGCGAGGCGACACTGCTGTCGTCGCAAACCGCCTCAGAGACCAGCGACCACTGTACGTTCGCCGAGTCATGTGCCAGTGGTGACGAGGAGGAGACGGCGCGGCCGCTGGCAGGCTCGGAACGCGCGGCGTCCGTCTCGGATGCCGGCTCGGTGGCAGACGACGCGGCGCGGACGGCCCGCTCCGAGTCGGCGCTGCCCCCCTGCACCTCCGAGTCGCTGCAGAATCTGCTCTGCTCACGCCGGGCGGAGATGGCGGCCGAGCATCATGCCGCCGCCGACTGCCTGCACGACGTCCAGGTGGAGCTCATCGAGACGGAGCTCGGCGAAGAGCGCGTTCGCTTCACCTCGCGTCTCGTGCTCCAGTACATGGACTCGCACGTGCAGGCGTTCCCGGTCGAGTGCACGCTCGTGCTGCCGGCGCTGCACGTGTCGGTCGCGAGCGTCGAGTTCGCACAGGTGACGGTGGGTGACGTGGCACGGCGCGGCATCTACATCTCCAACCCGACGCTCGGCGAGCTCAGCTGGTCCTCGCGCCTCGAGCCGCGCCTGCCGTCGCCGCAGTCGTCGGCGACGAGCCGCTCCGCGCGTCGACGCAGCACACGCACGGTACCGCGCCGGCCCGACGCCGCCACGTTCCGCTTGGCGCCTGAGCTGGGCGTGCTGCCGCCGCGCGGCCGCACACACCTGGAGCTGACGTTCGCGCCAGCCATCTGTGCGCTGTACTCGGCCGTGGTGGAGCTGACGGGGCCCTGCCTGCCCGAGCCCGTCTGCGTACTGGTCACGGGCGAGGGCACGTACGATGAGCTGCCGCACATGCCCGGCGCGTGAGCGCCGTCCGCCTGGCGGCGGCAGGCTCAGCGGACGACAGAGCGGGCGTTGGCCGGGGTCAACACTCCCAAGCTCTTGGTGCCGAGACATCGGTGAATGGCACACATTTCAGTTTAGTCTTCGTCCTGTGTAACGGTGTGTTTCGTCTGGCCGTCCTTGCGAATCGTGGCGTTTGTTGCGAAATTCCAGCGCGTTCATGGGCCAATGGTGATTACACCAGTTGGTGCGAAGTGGGCCGACAGTTTGTCAGTGAGCACAAAATTGTGCGTATTAAGTCGTGAACTCGGCGAGGTGGTCTGTTTTCCTCAGGCCCAATGCATGGTCGCTTACTGGGTGCATCAAGTGCCTCAATGTCGCCATCACATTACCGCCATCAGACCACTGGTTGGCGTACGTGTGGCTGGGCATATCTTCCGCTCGGTCGAACGATGTATGTAGCTGATCAGTTCATCTTTCAAAAAATAAATTTTGAAGTATAAATGAGAGGCTGCATCCGAGCTCCGGAAAGAACGAAAGCATTCCTCAAGGCAAAACCACCTGCATCTGGCTTCGGAGCTGAATCTGAAGCTTAGTCAACAACTTGAGGGCCGAAGTCGGAACTGAAGCCAGTGGCATTGAAGCTCGGAAATGCAAATCTGAAACCGAAACCAGAGCCGTCGTATGTTTAGAATGTGAAGTTGAGCCCCAAGTCAGCTGCTTTGAGCCTTGTACGTGCGAAACCGAAGACGAGATAAGCGGTTTCGAAGCTCGAAAGCGCGAAATCAGAGCCGGGCCCTTTGGCTTAAAATCACGGGTCGAAGCCAACACTGAATCTCTTGCACGGCGTTTTTTTTTTTACCGGATCAGAAAGTCCGGATTTCGATACGTGGTGTTGGCGTTAAGAATGGAAGGTTTTTTGGACTATCGTCGCCTCGCATTATCGTATCATATCGTGTCACAGGTATCTGCGCTCGGCCGGGAGGAAGTTGATTTGCCCCTACGGTTTTTCGATTCTGCAGCCTGGCCTTCGGTTGTCGGTTCTGGTGGGCCGCCCGGGTCCCTCTTCGGGCCTCGCTGAACACTTCCCCAGGTCAGTTCGAGGTCCTTGCGAGTACAGGACCCTCTGTTAGGCGCTGTGAGCCCCTGAGAGATACAAGGCCTCCGATCAATGTAGATCACTGGCCTCGGTTTTATAGCTGATTGGGAAGCTGGACCCCAGACCCACACCGACACAAAGCCGATTGTGCGGTTCTTGTGGCGCCTGATTGACAAAACGGCCCATATCAGCTCTAGGGCCCCCGATCGGCGCAAAGGGACTTGTGACCGTTATTTGAGGGTCTGTCTTTGCAGGTTGGGGCCTATGAATAATATTCCGACCAGCCATTTATGCCCTTAAACTTTCCAATCGGGCCGTCGGACCCGGTTGGAAAGTCTAAGATCCATTGGGGAAGTTCATTGATCGTGGGACCCGGTGGGCCCTCTAGGCTCTTGAGACCTCCTCGAACACTGCGTCTGGGCAACTCGGAGCCCCTTGTCAACACAGGGGCGCGTTAGGCGCTGTGGAGCCCCGACCAATGTAAATCGCTCGCTCCGGCTTTGTTCCTGCCTGGAAAATGGACCTTCCAGGTCCATGTCGCCACGGAACCGATTGTGCCTTACTGGTGGTGTCTGACCGAAATAAAGACCCTTTTCGACTCAGGTGGCCCCTGATCAGCGCGCAGGGCACTCTGGCTGACATTAGAGTGCCCGGCTCTGAGGGCCGGGCCCTGAATGCGACCTCCGCCCGGCCTCTCGGGCCCTAAATCGTAGGTTCCAAGGGCTCCTCGGACCCCTCGGAACCCTAAGTTGGAGCACGTGCCCCTTGTGCCCCCCCCCCCCCCCGCCCTGCCTGAACTACTGCATGCACGCCACTTTTGCTGTAGATTGTGAATATACATGTGAATCGGGCGTCGACTGATGAACGTGTCTTCGTGTGGCATTTTTGCTCCCTAGTATGGTGATATTATTCCTTCGTAATTGGTAGCAATTTGCAATGCATATATGGTGCGCAAAATACGAAATATGAGTACATAACTGGCCGCGGTTTTTAACGTATGAAGCCCACGGTTCTTCTAGCTGTATATATAAAAGCCCCGTCGTGCGTGGAGCGCTAACGAGGGAAGGGCTGGGCTGGATTTTTCGGGATGTGAGTTGTGAATGTTTTGTCTGGGTGTTTAAATTTCTGGAGTTGATAAATTAGACCATGTCCCTGCTCCAGTTTGCAAGTTAATGACACATTAAGCACTTTCGCTGAAGGACTTGTGAATTATGGTGCGTCTTTCAGGTGAGTTCTTATTTCTTCTACCCTACCATACACTCCAGGTGATCTTGAATGCTGCAGGTCTACAGCGATGTTACAGCCATATCTTAATTATTTTATTCCAAGTTTTTTTTAGCAATATTGTTTAGCAACAATTGTATTCAACAATTAGATACTGTTCTTCTCTTTTCCTGACCATTACCCATGCTGCTTGTTTCATTTATTTTTTGCTCACATTTTATATCTTGCACCTGTGCACCACCAGTTAAACAACAGGCTGCATGAAGTTAAATGCGTACATATATGCTTGTACATGTGCAGTTTTCATTGTAATTCATCACATGCCAGAGTTTTAAGCATTGTCAAGACAATAGTAAAGCAAATCAATGAACATTTGTGTAAAGTAAGGTTTGTTAATGGTCAAAATGTCATAAACAATGCAGTGAAGTATCATACTTTTATTTAATCCCACTTAACCAGGCAATGACCAAAAGCCAGATAAACTGTGCTGCTATTGATTCCTCATTGTTCGATCCAAAGGGAATGGAACAATATAATACTGGGTCTTTTCAGCGACATTTTCAGCTTGTTAAGTCACACAGCATTGCATTCTGAAGAGAAAATACCATCACAACTGAAAACCAAATTAAATACAGACTCAAAACCCATGACTTGTGAGCTTGTAACAAGAGAGGACAAACCAGCTGGTAGCCTCATCACAGTAGCCCCAGCAAATGATGGTAGCTGGTTAAGCTACCTCAGGGAATGTTAATGAAAGCCCATAATGTCTGGGAAATGTCTCAGTTGGGCATGTCACACCTTGGACAATATCATCCTAGAATCAACCTGTGATAACATTTCTGAGCACATTGATCGCCTTTAGGGGAACATGGTAAGTTCAGAGATGTGGAAAGTAACTTCTGCAAGGCAGTGACTGCATTAGATTTTAGCAAAATTTTCATAACTTAGCATTTTAAAAATGAGTAACTGCCTGGCTAGTTTTATCACCCACAGTTTTCAGGACATTTTCACTTGAGTTCAGTGCCAGAGTGAAAAAGCCAGAATATATAGCAAATAGGAATGATAGTTTATGGTTGTCAATAATGGTTGAAACATATTTTATTGTCTAAAACCTGGTAAGTTACAGAATAACAACCAAAGTCTAAAAATTTGGGCTGCATACTGCACTTACCAATCAATTCCCTTTGTAGTTTGCAACCCTGATCTGCTGGCAGAGTTCAATATTGGAACTGGGACCCACTGCTCTTTTTGCACCCATAAAGCTCTTAACCTATTCCTGAAGATTCCAACTATGTTGAAATCAATTCCTATGAGAGCATGCCCACTTGGCTCAGAGACAGTGTCAATCCCAATTTTCACAATGCTGTTTTACGACGGTAGTCGGAATCTGGCGCATCGCCATGACTCCGAGGCTCAGATGTTTTCCTGGGGGGACCCAAGCACAGACCTACTTTTCCCCACATGTGCCCATTGCCAGGGGCTTATGCCGACAGCGTGCGTGCTGTGCCGCTCGAGCGCCGCCGTCCGCCGGCGGCTGTGCGGTCCCGACCGGCCGCGGCTGCCGGCGCCCGCCGGCCTCCACCAGCTGGCCGCCGAGGTGCGCCGACACCGGGACGGCCTGCGAGGCGCCGCCGACGGCCAGCGGCCGCTGGTCTGGCTGGTGAAGGCCGACGTCCAGACGATGCCGCTGACCGTACACCAGGCTCGGTCAGTACCACCGGGATGTGTCAGGTCCACCTGGGCGTGTCAAGGCCACCGTGGTGGGGCAAATCTGCCAGGTTCGATCAGGTCCGCTGGGTTCGGCCAGGTCCACCGGGGCGGGTCAGGTCTGCCAGGGCGGGTCAGGTCTGCCAGGTGCGGTCAGGTCCACCGGGGCAGGTCAGGTCCACCGGGGCAGTCAGTTCCACCGGGGCGGGTCAGGTCCGCCAGGGCGGGTCAGGTCCATTGGACGGGTCAGATCTGCCAGGTTTGGTCAAGTCCACTGGGTTCGGCCAGGTCCACCGGGGCAGGTCAGGTCCACCGAGCGGCGTCAGTTCCGCCGGGCCCAGCCTCACTCAGTGCCTTCGAGCTCGGTCAGTTTCAGCAGGGCCAGACCGGCTCCGCTTGTAGCACTGAAGTTCAGCTCACGGGCAAACACAACCTTCTCTGTGCTGGTTAGCAACCGACGTCAAAATGGTTTGCATAGACGTCTCAGAGATACCTTATGAAATGCGTGCATTAGCTCGTTAAGTTTGTGCACGCCTATTGAGCTCGTCCTTTGCACTTGAACTTTATACTTAATCACATCACTTCCCATCAATGATAATGGTTTTCCATGTGGTAAGCATTTTTAGCGCACCACTTAATATTTATCAAACTGGCCACAAAATGTCCAGGGATACTTGTATCGTTATTCCCAATCTGACGGACGTTTATCGCCTATACCATGACTTTGGCTACAGAAACATGTTGCGGTTGGATGCATACCGGAACATCTTGCACCTGTCAGGAGATGTCGACCTGCTGCATCTCTGGGCTTTTCCGAACTCTTCGGCGAAGGTAACATAGCTATGTGCTGACGCCAGTGGCACCCATGAATACGCCCTGGCCCCCAACGGCTGCCCTGAGGGGTTTGTAATATTCTTGGACTTGTAGCCTGTGTGCTCTGAACAAAGCATGCAGTGTAAGTCGTAAGGTTCGATGATGAAAAGCCAATAGGGCTGATAATAAGGCTGCGTTGCCCCCATCCGTGAATACTTGGTAGTAAGATTACACCTTGTGGACACACCGTAATATTTCGTGCTTGTTTTCAGACCGCAGATTTGGAGTCAGATGTATGGGCAACGCTGTGCAGCCTTGGTGTGCAAAGACCACATCATGTCTGCGATTCTAAGCAGCTTGACATCATCGAGCAAAGGTGGGGCGTGTCTGAGAGATTATGTTGACTGTGGCTGTATTTAACTAATGGCTTATGAACGTTATTCATAGTAACCTATATTGTTTTGGATGCTACTGGACTGATAAGCTGCAGCGCTGGAAAGCGCAAACTCACCACCTCGTGTCATATGAGGTGACGTGCCTGCACACCTATAATCAGCTAAAACTAGCTAAAATAGTCAAAGTACTTGTGCAACAGAAGACATGAACTCTGATTCTTCAGAAAACTGTTTAGTCGTGAAAATGCTCCTCTCCCTATGTAGACCTTCACCAGGCGGCTTTTAAAAAATCGTACTGTAATAGGATCACATATATCCATTCGCCTATAACAGTACGCGTTACACTTCGTGTGTGGTAGCCTCACAAATGTGTCGCCGACAGACTGCTGAAGGAGGGTTCCATGGTTGTGGACTTTGCCGCCACAGAGGCCAGCGCCGGCAGCCCGTTGTCGGGGTCCGTCAAGGATTTCCTACAGACGCATCCAGCCGAAATGCTGCGCCTATCAACACTGCTTGAGTCAGGTGACTTAACTGTGCGCCACTTTTACTGTATCTTATCTTGCGCTTTTATAGCGGTGGTCAATAAGGTGAGCTTACCTGAGGCCCGTGACTATGACGGGTTTCTCCTTGACACCGAATAACGTGCTGCTTGTTGCAGCAGCCAGCCAAGCAGCCAGCCTGACTTACAGAGCCCTCTGTGCCCTGATAATAGCTCCTTGGTCGAGGTACCTGATCATAATATCCGTATAATAATATCTTGATATAATATTGCTATCTTCACGGAAGTGTTCATAGTGATCACAGCCATGATTTTAATATCCTCATGGGCACCTGGTGTAACGCGTCGTATCGTGTAGGTGGGCCATACCCAGTAACGCTTGGCTCGGTAGTCACGGGAGGTTAATACCCAAGAGGTCTCCGAAAGGCACTGAGAACAGGACAGCCGAAGTGGTGTGGGCAGACTCGTCCCTCGCTTCTCTTTCAAAATTACGCAGCTCCACGTGTGCGTGATGGATGTGTTTGACGTATCCGTAGCGTGTTCCATTATGATTGTTATATGATCATCTTGTCGATAGTTCGGTTGATGGTGCCGATGGTTCTGATCCCCAGAGGACGTCGTCGAGCAGCCAGAGGGAGCTGTGCGGTTTTACCGGACGTTCGTTTCGTTCGTGGACGACTATGTGACACGTAACCTGAGTTCCGAGAGTGACATTGGATCAGCTGAGTGCGACCTGCGCATATCTCAGGTTAGTGATTCAATTCAACTGATTTTCTTTAGCCAAACGGCCCTACTGTCTGCCTTTGTATTCTTCAGATGTTATCTCTTTTTGGGCCACTGCAGACAAACAGCTTGTTGAATGTGTCATGAACTCACCACCAAAGTTACACTTCTCTAGTTCACCGGACAGTTTGGCCGTGTTGGCTCCGGCCTTTGATACCCGGATAGGCAGCCAGACCAGACTACTTGGCATGTCCGGGCCAGACCAGACCGTGTTTGGCCAGTTCCCAGCTGACTGTGATAATCGGGTCAAATCATTCGCGCATTCTGGCATTCGGTCCCAGCTCGGCGTAGCCTTATTATTAGTCCACACTTTTCCTTCCTCATGAAGGCAGCGGAGACGACGACTTTGGTAGTGGCGGGTGTACTATTAGCTTCTATCAACGGACTCCCGGTTGTGTCACCGGCGTGGTGAGAACTTCGGGGCGCCAGTCCAAAGTATTTCTCACCGCTAATGTCGTGCAAACCCCCCCCCCCAAAAAAAACAAATCTACGAATTGGGCGTAAGAAGAGATCAAAAGTGAGCACAAACCACGTGACAAAAAAGGCACGTTTCGTCATGTGAGGGAGCGTGGGCTGATCTTGGACGATGTGTTAGGAAATGCATGCTGCCATGCTGCAATATATTTTAATAATTGTGTTTATACCCCCAAAAGCTTCCAGGGCGCATTTGCTTCATTCAGATATTGCGAACATACTGTAGATTTCTGCACGTCTTCCAGACATTACAAGACCAAGAAACCGAATACTATCGGCATCTGTATAATTTCGAGACTCGGAAGGCGCTTGATGTCCTGTGGGAGACCATGACTCTGCTGAGGTCGTCCGTTGAATCGGTGAGTTGCGGGCGCTTCCGTTTGGCTATTGTGGTATCGCGCAGCGAATTCGCACGCATGCTGTACCACTTAACGCTTGTGAGTGACAGCGTTCTGAGCCTGGATGACCATACGCAAAGTGGCGGAGGCGCGAACTGTTAGTGCGTTAGCCATGAGCTCCGAGCAGTGTACCTCGCGGCATGTGGAGCAGTTACACTAGCTTTTATGGCTCTTCAGTACCTTGGAATGATTGAAAGGAACGCCCGGAAGTCCGCAAAAATACCGAGGGTCCTGTTCAACTTAGTATTTGGTCTTTCTGTTGTAGCAACTTGGTTCCATCGCGCGCACGACGCGAACCGCAGACAGACGCGCAATGTAAGGCCTGAGCGGGGCCATCTGCGCTGCGATGACTGAAGTGGAACGCGGTGTTGGGTGTAACTTAAAACGTATGACCGTGATTGTAGACGGATGCGGGTAACTTTACACGGAGGGGCGGGGGGGGGGGGGGGCAAATGTTCACGGAACCTTGACTCCTACGACAGGGCGCGGCCGGCGGAACCTCGGCGCTCGCCCTCCTGGCGGCCAAGCACCGTCTGCTGGGCCATCTGGCGCGGCTCGGCGTGACCCTGGACGATGCGGTACGGAGCTCATGACCCGGGCGATAGGCTGCGCAGGGAACCCAGTAACTGCACCCTCTCCTTCGAGCGTGCTCGATATTTCGTCAAACAAATCAGACCAATATTTCAGGGTGTAACTATTTTAGGTACCACCTATGTATTGTCCCGTTGCTCGATGGGAGAACCATGGGAAGAACAAGATTAGTTTTCGTCGTCACCATAGAAGTGGAATTATAATTGCGTATCAAATTCATTGCCTCCGCAAAGAAGTACGGCATTTTCAGCCATGTGGCAAATAATAATCTTTGAGGTTACTTAGTTCCCGTTTGATTAGGTAAATTACTTTGAAGATATATAAAAAGTACGTCATCCTGATTGCAATACAAATGTAAATGAACTAGCGCGATGCAATTCTTGAAGGGAGTATCCCACATTTAACACATATTTCAGACATACTCTGGTGGAACCACAGGACGATAAAGTCTACTGATAGCACTGGGTAGTGTCACTGCAGCACCATCAATATGTAATTGGATGTAGCTTTTGATTATTTGATTTTGATTATTTTTTAGTTTAAATCACAGCCTTAACGCTTTGTAGCAACACTACACTCATTTCTTTCTGGCAGCCCCAGAGTGTATCTCGAGTCCGCGACAACTGCAGTTGTCGCAAACGCCGCCGTCATGACGGCAGAATCTGCTGAGGGCCATTGTCAGCTGTTACGGGCTAGAGGTACCACTTTTGAGCTGTGTTAACCCGCACGGGCTCGTGGGCATAAAAGGTGCACCTCTACTGGCATGAATGACTTCGTTACCGATGAACGTTTGCGATCGACACAGGGCGCGGCAAGGACCAATTACCAAGAAGTGCATAAGTTAAAATTTGAACCAGAGCGTCACGATAAACCCTGTGGTACTCCGTTTCCTTGACAACGAACATCCGGATGTTAGTCTGAGCCACATCAATCGGTCATATGCTGTTAGTGTATGACACAGAGTAGCACTGGCTCTTGTGGGACTAGAATGACCGCGATTCGCTGGCTTGTAACGTCTAAATCGGTCGATAATGACAGCCCATTTCTACTGTCTGTCGTATCTAACAACACAAAAATACTACTTATTTGCCGTGCCAAACGCAGGCTTGCATAACCGATCTTTCATTCGCATTGCACTAAATATTACATCCAGTCGATTACTCACTCTTCCGATTTGTCGCTCTGACAGTTGAAGGAAGTCAGGCAGAAGGTCCATCCATATCACAGTATTGCATTCTGCCTTTGGTTTTGCATTGGGTGGCATATTGGTCATTGGTACTAGACGGCTGAAGAGATCCAAACGCTCGGTCATGCACTGCCAACTTTACGCGCGAATCTTGTATAGCCTCCAGATGGCGAAAAATACGTCGCATGGCACGCGCACATCTCACAATTTCAGGGCACATAACCTGTGCGGGTACTGCCCCACCAGCTGGCAGTCACGTCAACTTGCGCGCCCTTGGATCGCCCAGCCCAGCGTCACAGCATGATATCGCGCACACTGAATTCAACATGACGCAAGCACGTCCCCTCACAGCCAGCGCAGCCGGCGGCGGACGGCAGGATGTCGGCCATCGTCGACGCGGCAGCCGCGTTCCGCCACGAGGTCCGCCGGTTCGCCTTGGAGGACAAAGACAAGAGGGCGGAACTGATGGGAGCGTGCGACGGTCTTCGAAACGCGCTGCTGGAGATGGGTGTCAAGCTGCAGGTAACTCCGCCGCCATCCGCACTCTCTTCGCTTGTTCGCGCTCACAATTGCTTACGTGGGCCACATTATTTAGCACAGCTTATATCCAGCCGTGCCATTAGCTGGCATCCAGAATATGCTGTCAATGTCTGACGGGTTGGTTCCAACGCATCAAAGCCTACTTCATTGGGATATTCGACGGGTCTAATTCGGTACATGTTATCTACAGGATAAGAAGAACCAGGCTCTATGGCTATGGACGACGCCAAAGAGAAATAAGTGAATCGGTTGGGCATACGCCGTGTATTGCCTTCTGGGCTTGTACACACGTATAAAATACAACTGTAAAATGAGACCACTTTCACTCGAATGTTAAGCACAAAGCTCCGCTCCAGGAGCCATAGAATGATTGGCACACCAGACCAGCACGATGGCTAACGCGCCCGCTGAAGGGCATATGAAAAACAGTCGAAATGCGATCACGCACACACCACCACAGACGTATTGAGTAGATGTGAAAACTGGACCTTCGCTTCCTGTACGTGATATCACAACCCAAAAATCATCACTATGATACATGACAGTCTGAACACCATGGCATCTCGGCTAACCATCAGACGCACAACTTAACGCAAACGGATCTTACCTGTGCCAACTGGGGTGGCCTCACCGCACCAACTGGCCACACTGGGCTCAAAATCTCGCACTGGGGCCAAAGCCACGCTCCGCGTGGTCGATCGACTCACACTAGACGTCGCTTAGGTCCACTCGGCGGGGCGACCGAGCCGGGGATCAGAGCACGGCGCCGGCGGACCACCCGTCCTGCCGGCCGCTGCGCCGCGCCTCCCGCAGAGCCATGATGCGCCGGTCCGCCACGTGGAAGCGCTCCTTGCGCAGCGCCGAGAAGAAGCAGATGTTGTTGGCGGAGAGGTCCACGGAGCAGGGCCGCAGTCGGCGGTAGGCGGCCAGGTAGGCCGGCCCGGACGACGCCGGCACCATGCGACGCTGAAACACCGGCCGGCAGCTCGGCACGGCACCCCTCAGACCGCAGCCTCATACGTCAGGTCGACGGCGGGGTACGGGGCTCGCGCGATCGCATGGGTGGCCGGCGAGTGCAAATGTTCTAATAAATAACGTACTTAGCTGGCAACCCACTGCTTGGGCACCTCACACGGAACGGCTTTTATTATTACCTGATCCGTAATGCGATCTCCATGTTGTGTAGTACAGACACACGTTGACTCAGGGATGCACGGGGCAATTACCTCGATGAAGAAATACGTCTTTCCCATTATCCGCAATCCCAAAAACGTTTGGGTGGAACAAGTCGTCTAAACAAGCTACGAAGGAACAAGCTACAAAGGTCATGATGTTGCCCCTAGCGCGAAATGATGACCTTTAAGTGGGGTGCAACTATACAAGCTGTATTATGTGGCAATTGCCCGTAAAATGCTATAATTATTTATGTGGCATGTAGCTCAGTAAAATCCACTTACCATACAAAAACCTTACTCAGCAACCAAACGGGCCAAGCATGATCAGGTTGTTAATAACTGAAACTGTTGTAATATTGATGGTCACGAACGCGATTTTGGTCCCCTTCACCACCATTAACTACGACACAGCACCAAAAGTGACGCCCATGTCCCAAAACGGACCACAATGCGACGATGCGACAAAACGGACCACAACGTACCTTGAGCGACCGGAGGCCGTCTGGAAGCTGGCTGAGATTCACGACACTGTGGATGACTTGGGCCATGATCCACTCGTCGTGACGCTGGGACCAGCCGAGGTAGTGGACGAAAAAGTACGTGAACGGTGCGTCCTTCCGTATCTCCAATATCTATGGCGAAGGAGACCACAAGTTTGCGCTTCACTGGAGTAGAGGACGATGCAGTGAAACTTTAACACTGGAGGGAGAATACTTGCAGACGAGGACAGCGTGCTGGTGTTTACAGCACTACCCGGATAAATCGCTGTGAACATTAACCAGGATCCTCCTCCATAGTCGTGGCAGTGGAAATACGCATGCGTTGTCGCGAGTGCATGACAATATATATTTCGTATATTGTGATATATTTCGTATATATCACAATATACGAAATACAAATATATGAAATGAACGGATGTATTCACGCTACTCATCTAGACATGTATGTTCTTGCTTCACATAGATCTCATTATGTTTGATGAAACTCAGATGTGTTCATTTAAACATGTATGCTCAATGCCTAGACACCCATTATGCTTTATAAGATAAAATATATGCAAGATGTACTTTGCGATCCCTTTTCCCGTGTAGCAAGACCGCCAATAAGGTCCGGATGATAGGAAAGACGTACGATGGTCGCCATGTCTTTTCTGGGCGTTTAATTTAACCTGGCTTTATGAAAAATTTGCAGCACCTTAGCGGGGTATGTGAACTTGGTGCCATCCTTGGTGGTTTCGTACACGACATACACCACATCGTCAGGCTTCAGTTGTTTTAGCGTCTTGGGGTCGGCCCTGGAAAACGGCGGAGATCAGTCCTGCACAAACAGCATAATATGGGCGACTTCTCAGATTAGCAGTGGCTATGGCGACTGCCCCAATCACCGTCAACACCAAGTCCCACAGGCTGTTTGGGATCAGGTCGGTCTTAACCACCGATATGAATGGACGTCATGAATCATCCGAAGTAGCTTCAAGCGTCTTGCATTGACAATGACAACACTTGTTTGATGACGTCGTTTAACCAGTACCTCCCGGTGCACCCAAAGCCGATGACTGTCGGCAGAAGACTCTGAACTCCAGGAGAATACCATAAACACCAACACCCAAAGAAGAAGAATACCAAAAACACCAGGAGATGGAGGCATGTCTTGCTTATACCAAGTACATATTTACTCTGCCACCGAACGCCCGACGCCATGTGACCGACAGAGCCGCCCGGCGACGTGCGCATCAGTGACTGTTTGGAGCGGCACTTACGGGCTGGTGGTAACCCTGTCGGCCGGGTCGGAGGCCTCCGAGCCGGTCGCCGGGCCCGGCTGCCGGTCAGGGACGGCCGATGTCGGCGCAATGTCAGGGGCCGCCTGCGCCGGCGACACTTTCCAATGCCGCGGCCGGTCCATCGCCACCTCGGGTCGCGGCGCAGGAGGTCCCGTGCTGCCGTCCGTGCTGAGCGCCCGAGTCTGACGTGCAGCCGGGTCGGCGAGCGGAGGACGAGCCGCACTGCGGCGCGACCGCGGCCGGCGTTTGCCAACGGCCGCTCCAGCCGCCGCGGCCACGTCTCCAACGGCCGGCGCCGCCGCAAGTGCCGACGGCGTTTCGACACGCTCCAGGTGCGACGCCGGCTGGCCGAGGCTGGGCGGCCGCGAGCGCAGCCGCTTCCACTCCGTATTGCCAGTCGTCGTGGCCGCGGCCCCCGCAGGACCCGTGACAGCGACCTCGAGTACGGGCGGCTTCCTCTGAGAGAGTCCGGGCGTGGTCCGTGCCACGGCTGGTCCACCGCCACCGGTGTCCTCAGGGATCCCGCACGCGCTTGCCCGGAGGCGAGTAAGTAGCTGACGCCGTCCCATCTTCGCGGGACTGCGGCCGAACGCCTTTCCGTGCGCGGGGAACCGGACTTGCCGCTCTATCTCGGGAAGGTTCCTCAGTCGACGGAGGCCGGTTCGCCCTCGGCCCCGCGTGGCCAGACGACCGCGGGCCAGGCCCAAATCGACAAGAAGACCCGGCGCGCGCCGGGCTCCAGGCAGCTGCGCCAGGTGTTCGGTCGCGCGGCACTGCGTCGGCTTACAGCCCCTGGGAATACCGTTCACCAGTGCTGCAGGGACACTGGCAGTCTGCTCATGGTCGTCCACACGCCCGGTGTTTTCAGTTACCAGAGAGGACACAGTCGGCTCGAGCGTTCGCGACCCTGCTGTCTGCGGAGGCGCCTTCCAGGACTTCTGCGGAAGGTGGGGCCGACGCTGAGGTGAAATTCAGCATTATGAGCCGAAAATGCAATTATTTCAGGATAAAAGAACGCCCCATTAGACATTCTTTTACGCACATGCATCTGATTCGTCGTAACTTCCGGGTTTTACACTAAATCAACTGTTCTGCAATCCCAAGCAGAAACTGAACATGAAGAATTGGACTACATATAAAATTTGGGATAGGCTAAGTTCTAAATGCTGCAAAGCACATACAGAACACGAAATCCAGCGTACAGAAAAAAATAGCTGAGTACAATGCGAATATCTGGAAACATCCAGTTTCATAGTGTTTTTTTTTGGGGGGGGGGGGAACACACTAACGGCGACTTCCGCAAATCTTGCAGTCAGGCATACGCTTTGTGACGAGTAGACTGACAAGCGCAGCTAAACGATTTATGCTTTGACGTCACAGCACATTACCCCTCGCTGACAACAGACACGTGCAACATTGTCGTAAATAAGCTCATTCTGGACACAGCTGCACTCAGCGCTGTGTTGGATCTGTATTCCTGCTTTGCTCTTCCGATAGCTGCGCGCAAGCAACTACGCGCCGACACTGCGGCCGCGCAACCCATACTCAAACCGGCCAGCACCCCAGGCCCTGTGGAGCCACCGCGTCTGGGCGCCGTACCCGCAGTGCCACGGTCCTCATCTGGCTATGCGACGTCACCACGCTGTGTATGACGTCCTCAGCTATCCATTCATCGTGCTTAGCCCTCCATCCCGGATAGTGGACCCGGTATTGCGGATACCACAGGTCTCTGTTCACACGCACCACCTGAAATGGCATCAGCGTGTAAACGTGGCCAAATCCAAACGCCATCAAGATCTAGTGTTTTTTTCTCACATAGCTTAAATAGCATCAACCGAAATGGATCTCAGCGTCTGTGAATCATGAATTGAAATCGAAAGCGAAATCATGAATTGTGGGGGCGGTAAGCACCAAAAAGACATGGCTGCTATTAATATTGGGATGGGATTTGTCTACGCCCATTCTTCCGGACAACGAAAGGGCGCATTCGCTGCAACGTGGTTCACAACGCTCCAGCTTAGGACGCGCCCAACATCAGGCACTTCTCTGCACAAGTTACCTCAGCCGGATACAGGCAGCGCCAGCCGTGACTATCCGTCCAGCAGGCCACGTACACGACGCTGCCAGCACGGAGAGTCTCCAGCACAGACGCCACAGCCCTGCAACATCGCACACTGCTCCTAAGAACTGGCGTTCGCTAAACAGCGGCATTCATGCGCTGCAATGATTTTTGACGCGGCAACCTATCCAACACCAACAGTCGCGCGTGACACGAAAACGGTGCACAAGCGGAATTCTATATCATGAAGACCTGATGCCTATTTCACACTTTATAAACATTTCGCCGGTGCAAGCCAACCTATCGCAAATGTCAAATGTCATTAATGGCGATAGACTTACGGTTGTATGATAACACCCTTCGGAGGGCGCGTCTTGAGGGCGGGGGCGCGTCGCTTGCGCGGGCCAGTGGCCGCTGGGGCCGGAGGTAGATCCGCGCCAGCCGCCGGACGAGCATCTGCGTCTGCCGAGGCCTGTGTTCGGATGCTATCGCCTGGTGCTTCAACCGCTGGCGATGGGTCCTTCCCCGCAGATGCCAAGCTCGGACGCCCGGAACGGCCCATTCCACGTGATATCTTTGCATGACCGTCCGACACATTAACGTGGGACGTGGACACGTCGACCACGGCGCCGTCTCCCATACCACGGCTTCCTCGATCGCGTGCATGAAGGCATGCGGTCCCCATATCCTGGCGTACCGCCGGCTCTGTCACCGCTCCGCCACTGTTCGTCAGCAAGATAGACTGGTGGCGGTCAGGAGCGGGGTCATCCGCCGGGTCGGCCTCGACAGTCGGCCCACATCTCCTAGTGGCACGCCGGCCACCGCGCTGCCCGCAAACCCCCGTCGGTGCACCCGGACCAGACCGCCGGATCAGCGTCTCTGGTGCTTGTCCAGTGTCCTCCCAATCACGGCCGGTCAGCGCAGGTAAGTTCGGGACGTCTGAAGTGACACATTCTTTAGTCGTTTTCGCCCCTATGCGGCGTCGCACACTGCCGACCTGTCTCGGTTCACGGCCAATCTGTTCATGAGGGCGCTCTCTGGCCACCCCTGCCTCACGCTCGAGATGAGCTGGAGGAAAACAGGCCGGCCCAGTACTCTGCACCACATTGGTGATGACCTTCGGGGGACGACCCCGCCGCCTGCCAGGAGGCTCCGTCGCTTGTGTCACCGGCGCGGCCTGTGCTGGCGGATTCTGATTCCGATCGGGCGTCTCCATGGCTACTCCCGTCTCCTGCTCGGGCTGCGCTGGAGGATGAGAGGGCGGCCCAGTACCCTGCGCCACATTGGTGATGACCTTCGGGGGACGACCCCGCCGCCTGCCAGGAGGCTCCGTCGCTTGTATCACCGGCGCGGCCTGTGCTGGTGGACTCTGATTCCGATCGGGCGTCTCCATGGCTACTCCCGTCTCCTGCTGGGGCTGCGCTGGAGGATGAGAGGGCGGCCCAGTACCCTGCGCCACATTGGTGATGACCTTCGGGGGACGACCCCGCCGCCTGCCAGGAGGCTCCGTCGCTTGTGTCACCGGCGCGGCCTGTGCTGGTGGACTCTGATTCCGATCGGGCGTCTCCATGGCTACTCCCGTCTCCTGCTGGGGCTGCGCTGGAGGATGAGAGGGCGGCCCAGGACGCTGTGCCACGCTGACGATGACGGAACAGCTCCGTCGTGTGCGGGGAGCCGGAGCCGAGCCACTAGCCTGCGTCACTAGTCCTGTCTTTGCGGGCGGAACCGGAGGCCGATCGGGCGCCTCTGCGTGCGGTATCAGTCCAGTCACACCCTCCACCCGTGGGGAGTGGGGTACCGCCAGTGTCCTAGAGCGCGCTTGTTTGGGCGAGCCCGACTTCCGAGCAGCCTGCTTCCCCGGGTGACCGCACTGTCGCCGAGACGCCAGCTGGGTGGTGACCGGTGCTTCCCCCGCCTCGTCGTGTGGAACGGGACGCTCGGCTGTCGCTGACGGCTCGAACGGCAGACGTCTTCCCGGTGACGGGTCGAACGCCAGGCGCCGCTTCCTTGGGCGGGACGGCGACGCCGCCGCGGCCGGTGCACCAGCAGCCTGCAACGCATCGTACTGCCCGGGTGATCCGACGATAGTCGCGTCGATACATCCCAATATTACACACAGTATAAAGCAATATACATTTACTCACCCAAACGGCATGACGCATCGCCGAACTGAGCCTTTCTGCCTCGTGCAATGCCCGTCACGGCACGAATCGTTGCACTTCCCAGAGCTCTGCTTTTAAAACAGAGGGAAACTTGTTGTTTGGACATGTAGCAAAATTCGCAATTTATCCCAGCAATGCATCACAGCTAGTTCCAAGACAAAACCTAAGCAGGTCACAATGTGTTGTTAACTTACAAGCTTGTAAAGATGTAATCCTCTCTCCTTTTTGAAGCAAACAATGCTCAATTCAACCATGAAAATGGTCTGCAAAGAGATTGGGCCCACCAAAAACTTATCTGAACAGTTCAACGCATCGATGCGGCATCTCCCGCTGATTCACGTGGCACATTAGTCACGCGTTCGCCAATGATGCCTTACTAACAACTACTGGTGTTCAGTCTTGACTTCAAATATCGGAAACAAGCCTCGCGAAGTGATCCTCTCAAGTCTGACGGCAGCATAGCGTTGCAATGGAGCGTTTCTAGGAAAGACGTATACAGCTGCCATACATCCAAGAAATAATCCTTGTTGGGGACGAAAAGCTGCTTACAAAGTCGCAACTTCCACTGTTCAAGAGAAAACACGCTTGCTTAACTTCACTGGGAGGCCCATTCCCTTCCTCGCCACTAAAGCCCTCCAAATGTCAGATGCATATACTACTGTTCCGATCATTCTTATGTTCGGCCAGCCCTGATTCATCTGACTTTTGTTCGACCCGATCCATTCGATACCCCTCGTGGGATCACAGGATCCAGAGTATCGCAACTGTCACGGGTCAGTATTTGACGACACGAATGGGTGCGCTCCTATGCAAAAGAATGTACGTTGTGCCTGAAAAGAATATTGACATGACCCAGCCAGGGGCCGGCACCCTATGCAGCGCAGGGCCGCCATAACTCACGTCAAAGTCCAAAGATCCCAACAGGATGCCCGTCCAAAGCGCACCAATATATTCGCGCTGACAGCAAAATTAGGCCCAGAGTTCCACGCGGCGTTATGACCTTGGAGTATTCGTGCTATAACCAATGCTGTCTCCGACATTTGCTTGCATGACCTACGCTTGCATGACAACGTCCTTTACCCAGTACTTACTAGCGTATTTAAGGACAACGGTAGATTATTCTCAACATTAGAACTCCCAGTTCCCAGTGTCAACAGAATACGCGCGTGTGTTATGGCCATCAGCTTACCGCATGGGTTGTGTCGTCTTCGGTCCGATACACCTGGATTATGTCCTGCATAGCGACCCAGCGGTCATGGCGAGTATCCAGGTTTGGGAAATGAATGAAGTAGCGAACCTGACTTTTGGAATCGTCTACCTTCATCACCTGAAACACGACAACACACCTGCCCATATCACAAGACGATATGACTGAAGATCGCAACAACTCTCGACTTATCGCATCATTAGACCAACCTTGATTTTCTTTGCACTGAAAGCTCCTGTGTGGCCGGTCCCACACTGCAGAAAGTACAGAGCGTATCTCACCAGCTGAGACATGTACGCTTTAAATAACGATTTAACTGATGATGACCAAGCACAATAAAACTCGAACAAGGAACGAATATGATGCTACACTATATGGGTACGAGTACAGCAAAATGCAACGACAATATCGAAAACGTCCACAACTCAAACCGCACATGGTTCTCACCATCCCATCCAAAGATTCACGGTCCCACGAAGATCTCAGCTCGCCGGGAATGGAAACTTCGACCAGACTTCCTGGATGAACGACTCCAACACATTGCCTGCCAAGTTTGACGGTTTGGGATACAGATCCACTCAGGTCTCAGGACAAGGGGCATGCACGATTTGAAAGCTGGGTGATTCGATACTAATGGCTCATAAGTACATAATTTATAAATTCAAACAACTAAACACACAATTTGCCACCAAGTGTGAAGACAGCGTTGACGACCGCAGTGCATCACATTAAAGCTGACAAGTCATAACATCCACGGTCTTCTTGTAACAGGTGTGGTAATCGCTCAACTAGAGAAACAAAATGTCCAGCAACGTAAGGATAGTGACTGAATCTGATCCAGAAGAAAGCGAGGAACTCGAATGACTTCAAAGGTAACACACACATTCATGTTCTACTTCGCGTCATTATGGTCAGCCGCAACTGCGGCTGTAAACGTGAAAGGGCACGGCAAATGTCACGAAACACGTCTGTGCGAAAAAAATTGCGAATGCTTGCTGACAGCCGGCTAAGACGTGAATCAACACGGACTGTCAAGATGCTTATACTACTGATCCGAGTATGCTTTAGCTCGGCCAGCCCTGTTGCATCTGTTTATATACGGCTTGTTCCAGACCGATGCTCTGACAAGCACAAAGTACTTTGAGCACCGTATATATCACGCGCCGACAAATTGTGAAAAATCATGGCTCAGTTTAGAGGACACGGTATTCGCTACGTACTTGAATATAAACAGCAGTTATATTGTAAGACGCTAAAATGCCGTCAATGTAACTTCCCCTACCAGCTTTCCACCAGTTCCAACATCAAACGAAAAATGTCAAAATAGAATCTCACCCACTACAATAAGACGTTTTCCACACAGCATGACCGCATGGCCGACCCCAACAGCAAAAACAAACAGCAAAAAACATGGGGCAATCAACGCAATACGCACCAAATAGGCTGTTTGAAGACGCCGAGGGAGCCCACTTCTTGATCTCCGGTCCGAGTGCTGGGATAATCAAGTTGAGAACTAACTTGCCTTTTCTTTGCGGGGGACAACTCAGCGTCATGTTCCTCTTCTGGACGTGCAGCTCTTTGACGCACCGCGTAACTGTCGCGTCCCGGAAGATTTGGATCTTCTTCCGTTCCCTTTGCCAGTCTCGTGCTGGATCGGCAGCGTCTGGGCATTCCACTTGATGAATGGGCTCGCTTCCTGGTGTCGGAACCCAATCTGGTTGCAAGTGGTTCGGGTTCAGGTTCGTCGTTTTCCAACTTTTTTGCCAACAACGTCTCTACACTAACAATGCTTAGCCCGCAAGGCAGAGAATCTTCGTCCTCGGTTGAGCTGCCGCGAGGCGAAAGCACCCATTTTCTTTCCCCGGGTAGTCTCTCGATGGGATCACCATGCGACTCTGGACTGTGGCTTCGGGACCGCCCCTCCGATTCGACATGGTGCCCTTCCGTAGTGTTCCCTAACTCAATGTCTACATCAGAGTCGTAGGAGTCCCCACGCGAATGGAGACGATCATGGCTGTCCACGTCGATGGTTCCGTGTAACACATTGTGCAATGGCTTTCCTTCAAAGTGCGACTCGAAATCCGGCTGGCAACTCATAGGCAACACATCTCTGTTCATGAACGCTGCTATTTTGCTGGGAGTCAGGCGGCTAAGATCGGGCAAAGGTTGTCGAAATCTAACGCTGGGCTCCTTCAACCTCCTGCGCACTATTTGTTCGCCACTGACACCTTCTTCAGGCACTAAGCCATCTGGGCCACAGTCCTCAGATGATGGTTTTACATTAACCAGCGCATCAGCCGGACAGTCCCCACACCCGTCCAACGGATCCTGGCTGCTGACAACGGAAGAGACATTTGCTTCAACATGAAATTCTCTCCGCCGTGTTTCAGGCAACGACATACAACTGTCATCCGCTGCGGTCGCGTACGACGGCAGCTGTACCATATCAGATCGCAGTGCAGTTTCGATTTGCGTACGGGCATCATTTGGCGTACTTCGTAAGCAGCCTTCTTCTTGTGAGCCAAATGGGTTAACTATAGCAGTTGGTCTATCATGTCCGCCTTCCGTGGGAGGGCGCACAGATGGCGTTATGCTGAAAATATTTGTATGCATGTCTCTACGACACGATCTGGCGGTAGGTCGTGTCGTGGAGGCATGTGTAGCTGACGCATCATGACCATGGCTATCTTCAACCTGCGCGCCAACCACACCACCCTCATAGCCTTCCATGATCTCTCCAGACGGTGATGCCATAGCTACCTCATGTGATTCCAACTCTTCAACCTCGTCATCCGAGCCCAGCACAGTGATGGCAGATGAAGGGGCTATGAGACGTGACAGATCTGACCCATCCGCAAGTATGACGGCCGGTTCATCATTGGAAGCACATCCAGAGCCTTGGGATGAAGAGCAGCTGCCTTCCACCTCCTCCAACACTTGAACATCATCATCAGATCCAGACAAGGGTTCTGCACAAGGGACTGTGGCGCCGGGCAGAACATTCGAGGCACTGGACCTCACATCATTTGACAATTCAGCGCTAGGGGAGTCAGTCCGATTGATCTCAAACAGGACATCCACTTCGTCCATGTTCGTAGAGTCAGGCACACCACGATTCTTCCGTGGGTCCGTGTGAGCATGCGTGGTTTTGAGCGGGCCACGAAGCATCTCAGCAGGTCCAGCAAAAGGCTTTAACGTGTGACTGTAAACCTTCTGATCACCTTCATGGCGGGCAGGTTCGAGCGAAACATGACCACGAACCGCACAGAGCTGTCCACTGATGCAGTGCACCATCTTGAAGTGACACTGAAGGCTCTTCCTGTCAGCATGCAATATGTCACACAAATGACAGCTGAGCCCCTTCTGACCGGAGTAGTACAGCTGCCAGTACAGCTTCCAATTTACTTTGTATCTGTCTAGGTGTCTGTCAAGCTCTGATGGCTCCTTAAACCGTTCATTACAAAAACAGCACCACAGCAAAATTTGTGGACACTTAGGTCTCCATGGGACAGACCGTTTTTGTTCCATTTTTTTTAATAGTTTTCCATGAAACAGCACGCCTTCAGTTTCAATCTTGGTTAAGCTCTTCTGCAAGATCCTTGTCAGTACCTGTAAGAAGCAAAACACAACAAAATGTCACAAAGAACAATGTTAATCCAGATGGAAAAACCACGGACAAAAACAATAGTATATAGTCATGAAACAGAGCAACTAAAAGCTACCACTAAACAGCAAGCAGAATTTGTGAGCACCAGCTGATGTAAGGTGATGCCACTATGGTCTTGGCCACAAGCACTTTGTGCAAGTTGGTATAGCCTGTGCCTTAGACATAGACCCATCCTCCACATGCTGCAGTGTATTCTATCCAAACACTACTTGATTTAACAGTCAGGAGAACCCAACTCCAGATTTCCACCAGCACCTATTCAAGAAAAAGGATAAGATTGCAGCCTACCAATAGGCTTAGATATTCACTACATACATCCATTTCAAGCTAACATGCACACCAAGGTTCATAGGTACCAAAATAATGTAAAGTAGAAAAACAAAAACCTTCTCACCATGCAGCACTCTGATGAGTTTGAAATTAGGAAAACAAGTGGTAGGTCAACAGGTACCTCACACACTTCTGTGCTTCCCACCAACCATTTCATGCAGTGCCTTCTGAGCATGGGCATTGCTACAAAGAAGGCAATTGGGGATATGTTTTTATGAAAAAGAAATGTGCAAACTGGGATTTAAGAGAGCAATCATTTCTTTTTCATCAATTCAGCAAATTTCCAGATTTTAACAATTCAGGGCCCAAAAAGTTGTGACCCACAATTTACAATCAAAGTCAGTCTTATGGACCACAACCCTTCTGGCATGATGCAAATATGTCTGAGCAGCACACACCTCATATCATACCAATGTGAAGACAGGTAGCACAACAGGCTGTACCACATAAATCAGAACTACATGCTGCATTTACAATCAAAACCTTTTCATAGAAGAAAACAAACTGCATCAGAAGAACAGTATAACTTGGTATCCCATGCAGAACATTTTGACTTGAAAGAGCAGCCCACTCATTGCTAACAATTAAAACAACTTGAATAGCATGGCTTTTACCCTATCTCCAGCTAACACTACAGGTTAGAGCACCAACCCCTTGAATGCACCAACATAATGCATAAATGAAATCCCCAAGGCCCTGTAATACAGCAAACATTGTACTGAATAATACTGCACTAATTATAGTACTGTGATAAATCTGTGAAATGTTCTTTTGACATTCTCAATACCAAATCAAGTTGATTTTGCGGCTTTCCTCTTGCTACAGCAGAAAGCTTCTGCAAAAAGATGAATGCCTCAGAATTGAATGCCATACCAGCTATGCATATGACTCTGAGCTTTTTACATGTACAGTTCATACATAGCTTTGGCTTTTGCCTTGTAGCAGGCAATCATGCCATTGGTGTAAAGCAACATCTGAAAAGCAATCATACTTTCATATCAATATTTGTAGATGCAATGCTATATCACGAGAACAAATGAACTGTTCACATTTAGAACAGGACCCATGCTTCATATCTCATTGCCAATTAAACAAGTTTGCCATCTGCATAGCATGAGGCTTCACATATCACTGAGGAGCTAACACCACATATTCAGTCTTTTCCCCACCCTCAGTGGCATCTACACCCTTCTAAATTGCTTGAAATGTACAAATCGGAACAATAAGCCTTTGAGCATATTGATGTGGAACCCCACATACCCTTCCACGAAACACATCCTCGCCAAAAAAGACGAGATCAGTTTCAATACATTCCAAAACCAACATCATAATATGCACATGCTTTGTAGACTCAGATCACACCCACCGGCGTGCTGCAGAGTATCTCACAATCATGGACAGCTCAACAACCACACATCCAACGCAACTCCTTCCTGATTCAATACTCTCCCGCCAAAACATGTCACATATATCCAAACATCATCAAAGATGGCTGAAGCCACTGCCGTAGTTAAACACAGTACTAGATAAAAATAAGGCGTATTCTGGCATAGCAGCGTATGTCTTTTGCTTCATTCGAAAGGAACAGTTCATAGCACAAAAATACTTAGAACGACTGTTCAAAACATCACATTTCCGAGGCAAAGTTATTGGTTGAGTACTTCACACGGCACCAGAAACTGGGCATTTACAATTTGGTCGTCAATTTCGTCCATAATAACGTTACATTTATAGCGCTTTAGAGTCATTCATGTGCCAATGCTTGGCATTGCAAGGCTGGTAGTCAGCGCCGACCTATTGTGTAGAGGACGATGGTGGATATGTATTGCATTGGATTGTTGTGTATGCTTGCTGTGGAGTTGGTGACACGCTACCTAATCAGAAAAACTGTGACTTTGGCCACACCCCCATCAGAATAATATTGCCTGTGGAAATAGTAAAGAAGGCGTGCCCACACATATGGCTTATAGGCATGGACACCTACGTCAGTTCATTATTTCATGTGCTCAGGGATGATGACACATCATGTTTGTTGTGCCCCTGGAAGCTGCACTTAATTATCTATTATCACAGTGCTTTCCGTAACAAACAGGATCTGCATCCCATCACATCAGGCACCTAATAGAGCCATAGCTTTCAATGCTTTTAAAACATCCCTCTGCCATCATTTGCAGGATTCCCTCATTCAGCTCCAAAACATTTATCAAAGGGCTGTACATTAATTATGTCACACAATTCTGGTCATTGTTTGACGCTCTCCCCCACCCTCCTACACACTGATTTTGTGGCACAATCCCACCTCCCACCACAGAATCCCACCTCTGATGATGTAACCCATCTCTAGCCCATCTAGCCCTAGATCCAAAGCAAATAATTGGTGTATTCCTCACTGTGATAGGAAGAATGGGGAAGCCATCAACGTAAGCCTGGGTTTGGGCTGCCCTTCTACTTAAACATATGTTTGTCTTGTCTTTACTTGAGGAGCACTGATTGCTAACTGACTTCCTACTTGACCTGACTAACTGACGAACTGACTTGAGATCTCCCTTCCATGGTGTTTGGTGCATCTTCACCTGCTGCTAGATTCTCAGCAAATTGTCATTACATTCATTCATATTAGTCATGAATTCCCTGACTAAATGAGTTCAGTCTCCAACTTGTAGGGTATTACTCAACTGGGTTTTTTGTGGAGGGTTCTCCTCTGGCTGGACCTGGGTGTTATTTAAGTTTGACTTGGTGTGGCCTTCTTGAGTTTCTTGAGGGCCTTTTAGCCATTTTTAGTGTTGACACCTTAACTTATCCTTCAAAACTGCATCCCTTCTTTATACCTGGGTTCTGTGACCCTACACATGGTCTTGGAGGCACAGTCATGGTCATGGCCTTGTCTGTCACATGGTGCAGATGTGTCTAGTTGGGCCCAGTGTGCCTGTCTACTTGGTGTTTTGGATATTCTACCGGGGTGTGGGGTGGAACTCTACATACACCAGTAATACCTATCCACTGATGTTTTGTGTTCTTGTACTTAAGTCTGTGAGCATCCCCTGACCAGGGCTCAGAGGTGCCTCTGCTGGAGCTTGGGGCACCTGCAATGGTGCTCTGGAACTCATCTGCCTATAAGCTGGTTGTGCCCTTCCAAGTTGGTTTTGGGACACCCCTCCACTTTCAGTTATGGGTGCCTATCTCTTTTAATTTAGACGCACTTACATACTAGGACTTGGGGATTACCTGTACTTGGATCTTGCATAGTGTCCTGTCCACATGAAGATGTGCTGCTCACCTACCATTGCCAAGGAGAACCCCATGAAATTTTGCCTTCTTGAAATTACAGATGGCCCTGTCATGTGTACAAGGGACCTCATGGCCAAGACCCCCCATTCTGTCAAATCAAAAGATGGACATAAGGTAACATCTGCCTTATCAGAGGCTCCAGACAGCCAACATCAGGCTTTACTGGTCAAGAGCAGACCTCAAATGATTGCCCATCAAATGCCTGAGAGGCCCCATAGAAAACTGAGATGCATGACTGCCCCAAGAGAAGTCTCCGATTCGATGAACTGGTGGTCCCACCAGGTCAAGGGCAGGTTTTATTCAACAATGGATAGCTGCGAGTCCTTTTGAATAAGGGGATGAGACCTGAAGGACAAGCATTAGATATGGATATGGGTAGGAGGCTCCGAAATCTGCATAGGAAACCTCACATCTGCTTAGGGTGCCCCTATATTTCCTCGAGACACCCCCATGTCTGCCTTGCCCCTCAGAAAAAACCTGTGCTCTCTTTCCTGGCTTGGGAATTATTACATGGCCTGACCTTTTGGCATCTCCATTATGTATGTTCCATATTTTTCTTCATCCAGAATGGAATTAACCTAAAATGAACTGTATTCATGTTGCATTAAACAAGTGCGAAATTGGGTATAACCTTACTGAGCTTAAATAAAAGCCTTGTGCTTGGCATTCGGTAAATTTTGTGTTCTTTCCAAGACTCGCAGCTCCATAGTGCAAAACTGATGAAGGCGGATTGTAACGCGGATACCGGCGTGCCGGCGTGTAACGCGAGTACCTTATTGGCCACCCATAGTACCCACCTTAAACCCGGCACTTCGACAGAAGGTTGCAGTGTGAAGTATGAAAGAGTGCCGGGAGGAATTACAAATATTTAACCAGCACCGCACGGTACAACTTTTTTCGTAAGTGATCCACGGGTTTGGTGATTCCAGTATGTTGGAACTACTGTCAAGCGTTAAGCATTTGCCGCTGTAGTGCACGTCAAACCGTAATTCAACCAGTTATTGTTGGCCTGTGTGGTACCCTCACCTCATCACCTACATCACATGCCATCACCTCATCCAGCTTTTGTTCCTTCTTATCAATGATTCGATATTGTGCCGTCAGGGTCTTGAAAGGAGTACCTGAGAGTTCAAGAAATAGCACAGGAACATGGGTAAAAATGGATTGCCAGACAGGTAAGTGAAAATAATTCGGAAAGGTGTGAAAAGTGGCATTGCACCCATAGGGATACGTGGTTCATTATACACCCCTTGATTTAATCAATCTAACACCCCTGGCCAGTGCGGAAACAGTGGATTCGGGTTGGATTTTCACGTCTATAAAACAGTACTTTACACTCTTTCGCGCTAATGTTTTATATTCGTCGTGATGTGAGCAGCTACTCGGCACTATTTTGGGGTATGTTGTACTGTTTGGATGATGATAGCCGTCTGTCATATTCAAATGCTGTACGGAAAGTGTAGCCTTCAGGTAATTTTTATGTGGATTTTTTCAGTTTTTTTTTCTCGGCAAATTGTTCTTCAATACAGGATACCAAACCGGAAGTCCATCACTGCGCTACGGTTGTGGAAACTTGCAATTTTTCCAATAATTGGGATGACTTATCGGACCCTACCTTCTTCGCCTTGGCCACAGCAAGCCAAGGTGAAGCAAGCAAGCAAAAAAGCAGCTTTAGGTGTTTAGAGGGTCACTGCCGAGTGCTGTGTGGCAATGCGTCGTTAGTAGCCAAAACAAGCATGATGCATTTGGGTATGTTCACGCGGAATCCAGCCTCCCTAAGGACAGAGACGGTGAGGATGCTCAGGATGGTCCCGAAATGTCGCTGTCTCCTGGACGAGCTGTGCGAGTTGCTTGCCCTTGCATCTGCTTGTCACTTTGATTGGGTGGCTCAACCTGTCTCCTCCTAGGTCACGAATTCATGCGAAAGACAACGTGGATGTGTCGGGAGGCGCTCAGCCGTGGCAAATGTCGCGTTTTTTTTTGTTGAAACCAATTTTGCGCGCTTTCTGTATATTTTCGCCGGTATCTTGTCCCGGATACTCATCCCACCGCTTCGCAGCCAGGCATATCGTCCGGTGCGTATGCTTTTGGAAATAACCGTGTTCAACGTCATGCGTATTGGGTATGTGACGTATCCTTCGCAGAAACGAGAAACGGGTGATGAGAACATCCTAAAGTTATTGCCATTGCCCGTCCAGACGACGTCCTGTCAAAGGTGTTGTTAGGATGACTTTGAATTAATGACTTCTGCTCTCATCGCCCTTCTCTTATCGACATCCACCCTGTCGCGTGCAAACTGGTAGCTCGCGTGTCGTCACCATATATCCTCTTCGTTTTTGTGGCCCCGTCCCCCAGTAATTTTAGATTTGTCACACCAGGTCTGTGGCAGTGTCTGAAAAGAATGGCTTTGGAAAGTCCAAAATTAGTGAAAGAGCATCCCAGTCATTTTCGGGAAGTGACACTCCTGCACGTCGCTTCCCCCCTCCCCTCGCTTGCCCACCTCCAAGCATGTGTCTCCTGTCACGTGACTGATGGCGTCGCAGGTGTTATAAGGAACACACATTCTGAATAGTTTGAAAGCTTCGGGACAGTTTAGCACCGAGCCGTGATTATGCTCTTACAGCTTTAAACCAACGCCGAACAAAATTTCTGCCCGCACCAGAACCATACTAAAGTGGCAGCAAAGTCCAAGAGTGGTGCTGGTGAGATGGCCTCTTGTTAGAGTTTCTCCAGCCAGAAAATATTCCCGCGCCTTTGCCCCACGATTTGACACTCCTCTAGGCCTGAACGGCTACATGATCCCAATGTGAGGCCAGGTTTTGATCTGGCGACAGACGTGGCTCCGTCCACAGCTTGAAGTGTGCAAAACAATATTAAATGCTTTGAAGCAAAGTTATCTGCCGGCCACCCTGCAGGCCGGACTGCCTCCGATTGATCGGCTGGCAGCAGCGACCAGGATAGCCGGCCGTGGGGAGGGGGAGGGGTTCTGTTCAAAAATGCAAACAAAATGTTCACAAGGGCTTGGGACGCATAAATCCTCTCCGCTGACCATTGTTGTTGCCATGTTGTCGTGTTGAGAAATTCCTGCATGAGTATAATTGACAAGTAACTTTGTTAGTTATAAGATAGAGCGGTCGTATTTCAATGTCGCATCTCACACGTCTTGCCATGGCTCTAACGTTAAGCGGTTTGTTTGTGCATTCTTTGGAATAGCCGCCTGACTTGAGCAGTCGAGCGATTCTACCGAATATGTAGTCAGTGTGGCGACTATGAACGCAGGATCCGGGTTGAGTTCTAGAAGACATTTTACGTTTGGTCCGCTCGCAATGAATAGATAGCCATCTTTGCCATCATGCGGATATTCCCATAGGCCTTTCAGAAGTTGCCTAAGATCTGTTAGACCTTGAAAATCGCTTTTGCTGTTGGGATAGCCCTACATTTATTTTGATTTGTTGAAGAAACGGGAAATGTTCATCCCCCACACACTAAAAAATTGAAACCTTTTTTGAGGTCACCTTGGCCTAGTTTCAGAATAAGATAAGAAACGAACCGAAGCACTTTTTAATCACAGCGCGTAAGAATACATCCAGGAAGGAGCCCATTTTATGTGATATTTCAATATTTGAGGCATTAATGATCATTACGTGCAGACAGTGCGGGTTGTTTCTAATATATGGGTTGACGTGATTCTGATCAAAGTGCGCAGGTTCGTGTTTCCGCTTTATGAGACGAGGTTCGGGTCACAAAGTCGGCCAGCCGGCGAGCCACTGGCGCCGGGCTGGCAAGTGCCGCCTCAAAAGCCAGCTAACTGCAGCCAACCTTGGTTGCAAAATGATTCACAATTATATTGCTTACTTTTTGCACTGAATTGTGCGTCAATTTGTGTGTCTATTATCCGGGACCAAAAACAGAGTAATTAAGGTTTTTAGGAGTCAATGCGGCTCAGTTGGAGGCCAGGCCAGATCATTTCTTTGGAATTTTATACCTTTTTAGCCACAGGATCTTTTGTGAGCTCTAACAGCCTGGTTTGCGGGACTCAGTCTAGGAAATGTGCTAGACTGGCCGGTTTGTCATGTATGTGCAGATGCAGATCATTCCGTTTCGTCATTTGTTATGATACCCCACATGCCCCCTGTTGGTGACCTGATCTTTCATCGTGTAACGAAATTGACCCTGACTGACAGAAAATAAAATATGTTTATCTATTGCATACATTGTATTATACCAAAACTATCCGGACAAGAAAGCAGACTTCTATTTGCCGTCTCAGGGAGCTATGTGTCAGGGTAATCACTCAATAAGTAATTACGTGTTGCGCTAATTCAATAAGTCCAGTCGACACAGGGATAATTATTTCCTATGCTTGGAATGGATCATATTTGCGCTCCAGATGGTCGCAGGTTGCATAATTTTGCGCGGACCGCGATTTTCACTACGCTTTATGTCAATGCGTCGACCTAAAGCCACCTGATTAGTTCGTACCATCCGATCGACACCGCGCCGTCGGGTGGTGGCGTTCGGCGCCCACGCAACAACGCTGCTTAGCATGAGCTCCGGTTCTCCAAAAGCCCATCCATTCAGAAAGCTCGGATAAGATCTTTAAAAAGATGCCGCCGGTTGTGCGCATCCGGAAATGGATGAACACGACGGCATACTTTTAAAGAGGTCTCGGATGTTGAAGGCGTTTCGAATGAACTGGTAGTTGTGAGAATGGTCGATAGATGTCTCGTGTACCATAGTTTTACGCCTCGTGGTGAAGTCCTTCGCGAGTCTGCATAGAGCGTTCGAAGCTTAGCGTACTGTTTCCGCATCACCAAGGCCTTGTAAGCAGTTCCACGAGGTGTTATCTCGAAGCGAATGGCCGTTGTCTATGATTGGTTGTCCCGTTTCTTTCAACGTATGTTTGCCATCGGTTGATGTATCACCGTAAATGATGGACTAAATATACTGTTCTATGGTGATCAGTCGTAACGCCAGAGCCACAGTTGAGCCGAAGGACAGAAGACGATATTAGTGTGGAATTTAGATACCAAATATATTTATCCGTCGCGGGAAGTTCAAATGAGTAGACCATTCAACGTACCGCTTTGAGCAGCACGCATGTTGACAGCACAGATATTCCCTTAAGCAGGCGACTGCGATGACACCAGTGAAGCGCATGACGCGTGAGTTATCTCGTTTGGTAACGTATGCGTTATTTTGGACAGGTGGATGGACTACAGCAACTGCGGATCAGTCATTGAAGGCACAAGAATTGTCGCCTTAAAAGTACCGCTAAAAAAGGTGAGTTATGGTTTCAAACAGTTAGTGCTTCGTCTACCTGCAGCAATGAAATGGAATGAAATGTAATGCAGCATTCACAAGGTTGCGGTACTCGATCCCCCCTCGCTGTCAACCCTTCCGATCAGGATGAGGGGCAGGCGACTTCAAATGGCCTCAGCAGCCGAGTGCCTCGTTGAGCCCTGGACACGAGGATGCGTTCAGCGTTATCTTTTAGTGGATATTCAGGAAATGAGTAGTGTTTGTGGTTAGTTCATGATAAATGAACCACAGGCCTAATAACGCCGAGAGGTGACGTGTTCGAGTAGGTTCGTCGCGATGGTCGTGACTCATGTGTATTTGTACAAGCAAAGAGGCGGAGTTGCTTTTTGTCTGAACAAGTTGGCTCCGGCTCCAGCCACAGTGACGTTTTTAGATATAGTTTCGACCCACTCAGGCATGGGGACAACATGGCGCATCAAAAAACGCATGCGCTTTGGAAACCATTGAGAGACTGTTCACGCGAGGCAAGCGAAATGATAGAGGTATGAGTATTATTACCATGTAGAAGGCACCAGAACATACACCAACGGAGTCCACCACCTTTGGAAACCCACACGAATTTGTAATTATAGTTATATATCCATCTTCCAGCGCGGTTACAGCTGTGACCGTGAATTTAAAAAGCAGAGTGGGGCTGACATTTGAGCGTTCCAGCTCAAATTTTCCAATGAGATTGCTCAAATGTTAATCGACCTTGATGTTGGAAATGCGCATCAATTTCGATCGATGCAACGAATTAATTTGGGATTGGTTATGCTATCGACAGCTTAGCGAAGTATTTTTGGGCGCATGACGGTTGCAATCAATTGCTCTGTAGGATTGCAGTAAATAGTACAATACGGCTCCACGGTTACGCATTGCCCGGTCTGTCGGTTTCGCGATATCGTGCGATATTACACTCCAGTATCCGAAAACATCACTTTAGTTGCCTCGCTGTATATTACGGACGCAGCTGTGGGTGACGTATATGCGACTTTCATATCAAGCGCGTGATGTATTTCACGTTGAAACAATTGGGAATGCGTTGGACAGGCATTTTTAAAGATTCGAACACGGCAATGTGCGTGGCTATCAAAAGTTTCAACACTGTTAGTGCGCTAACGTGCGGGAAAGTCGCACGCGGCGATCAGAAAGTAACAAGTTGTTTGGAGAAATCAAGTTGCTGACCACTGAATGTAACCCTTATGAACCGGTCACCTGCGGTATAGGACTTAAATCATCTCAGGTTTTCACTTTGCGTCGTTTTCCACAATGGTGGTGTGCCAGTATGCCTAGCGGAAACATGGCGGACTACAAGCGCGCGCGGTCCGCGTGAATTCTCGGGTTTCGTGTCTCAAATAGCCGGTGGAGCGTTTCCGCTGCGGCCGTGGCGACGGGCCGGTCACCGATATGAGCTCCTGCGGCGATGAGCGCTGAACAGGAGAGACCAGGCCGCCAGTTGCTTGCTCTCTGAAGCGGGGTCGAAGTCGTGACGAAGCTGGCTGCAAAAACACTAGCGCGCGCATCAAGTGCACTTCGATGCTGATTTTTCGGCCAAGTCACCGCGTATTTGCCGTAACATGAAAGGTGGGGTGCGTTGTGTGGCGACAGAGCACTTGAGATTTGGTATATTACGCAACGGAATATTGCAGCGTGATATGTAAGTGTTCCTAGCTGGCACCACACCAGTGTTAATGAACATTTTTTTTCCTTTGTAGAATCGCATTGCTGGTTTAGAACTGTATGAAAGCTTGGGTTTAAAGAGTGTGCTTCTCTCGTGCTCTGTCTGTGCATGAAAGAATGTCTTGAGGTGGCGAGGACCGAGATTAGCTTACTGAACACCGCTGAACGCAGCATGATTACCCGGACGCCACCGAACGCAGCATGAACTGATTACCACTGAACGCAGCATGGGTTAGCTCCTGCGCTGCTGATTTCGTTTCTCTCGTGTGAAAGCGAGCTCTTACCTACGACCACCCGTGCCCCCCCCCCCCCCTCCTCGTGGAAAAGACATGCCGATTCCTAGCCGTATTGACCTGTTGTTTACTTCCCGGGATGACCTGTTAGTTTTCCCTGTGGTGGGCTGCGCGTTTGTGCAGCCTAGCCCCAGGGGCCAACGGTGGAGTGACCTTTCAGCTTCTCCCTGTGTTGCCCGTGACCACCTGCCAGCTTCGCCCAAGGCATCCAGCTGGCTCATTCATGTGGTGACCTGCCGGCTCGTCCACGTGGTGACCCGCCGGTCCCTCCCCGGGGTGACCTGCCGTCTGCCCTGTCTGTGACCAGCCCCCGCGGCCACCGCCCTGGGCGCCAGATGCTCCCACCTGGGCGCTGGCTGAGCGGTTTGGGCGCCGCCCCGGCTCGGCCTGGTACACTGATCTGGCGGCAGCATTCCCCGCTCGCGGGCGGCAGATGAGAAGCCCCCCCCCCCCCCTCCTCTGCTGTCGGCCCAGGAAATTCCCACCGGCAGAGGCGCCGCTAGACAAGGCTAAGTGGATCGAGCGCGGTTTTTACGCCGCTTAGGGGGACCTTATCTGGCCGAAACTTCCGGTATGCTGCCCGCGTGCCAAGCCGGAACAATGCCAGATTCCCCCTCCCCCCCTTCCCCCGATGGTAACTCAGGTACTGGGTGACCAATTGTCGACTGGAAGCCGGGAGGGTACCCTCGGAGCTTTCGACCCCCGCGCGCCTATAAAGGCGTAGCACTTGTGTTGGGATAGCGTGTTCCTCTCGGGTGCAGTAGTTCGACGAAGCTGACGCTCATTCTGGCTTTGCGGAGCCACATGCATATGCATTATCACACGGCTGGGTTACTTTTTTTGGTCCACCCACACGAACCGCATGCAACACTTCGTGCTTCCACCAGTGTAATCCTTGGTACCGTTTTTTGACCTCTGGAGGACTAAATTTGTAGCCGGATGGCCAAATCGGGCTTTCCAGGGTCCCAGGCCCAGTGGGGACACCTCGGTCGGTAGCTGACCACAGTCACGAGGTTAATGACACATTGACACGTGATAGGTAATGACGTAGTGCATTGTAAACTGTTCGTAGATCTGTGTTACTGGTGGTGCTGGACTGCAACCTGGGTGCGCAGCGCATGCTATCCGGTATTCCAAGCAGCACGGGCAGCTGTCCGATGGAAATAACGATGTATTTTGCGTCATCCATTCTGAGTGGTTTGAATGACCAGACTTCGGCAGACCAGTGAGTACAAACTATTGTATGAATATCCAAATAAAGAGCACAAAGTACTACCACAAGTCCACAGTGTACCCGATCTCCATGTCCATTCATTGCTTATACTTTAGATCACTGTCCAATGCGCTGCCTGAACGTTCTTGAGGCCGGCCCTGCAACAGAGGTAGAGTAGAATTATAACAGCAAAAGAGCAGGGGCAATGTGTTCTTTCGTGTTTGTTGCTTCTTTTCCTATGTTAGCCTGAACTTGCTGTGAGGTATACGTGTATAAATGCATGCCAATGCATTTTGAGAAGCATTGCATTGTTAAGCCTCCCACGAGTTGTCGAATTCGAATGGTTGTTGCCGTTGGCAAGCGGTTTTCCGTGTCGTAGCTGAGTCATGATCAGGGGCATATTCCAGCTGCCGGAGGCACGTCCCCTCCCATTATCAAGTATCACATGTGGTGATAAGTATGTGCATAAGTGGCGACAATGAAAAGCCGAGATATACACGTACAGTAATGAAGTTGAAAACACGTCATGTTGATACACGCCACGCAACCTATTTTGCGCGCCTGCGGCATTCTAACTTGTGATCTTCAGTGAACAGTTTCTGTAGTTTCTCCTTTGCGAAATGGTGCATACGCCCCTGGTCATATTCCACACAAAAAGTTCTTCAAATACCCGCCCCATACTGGCAACTTGGAGCGTATGTGCACGCGCGTGTGTGTGCGCGTGCGACACTTAATCAACCGCTAAGTTTGGGTCCAGCGAAACACCGTGCTACTGAATGCCGCCTGAGTTTGCCCCGTGGCCATTCTACGCCACCTCTAACGTCGCATGGCAGGCCGGACGCCAACCCTCCAGCAGCCAAGTCAGTTCAAGCTGCTCTGACATCCCGCACCACCACCGGATTCGATCAGGCTCGTATGGGGGCTGAGTGGGGCGGAACGCCGCGTCGCCTCGCGCGAACACCACATTGTCTCCGCGTTGACACAGCTGCCTGGTGGCGTGCACAATGACGCCGCACGCCCCCCGCGCGCCGGCCGTGCCGCCCGCTCCTGGGCCAGGCCGTGCTCGTGGGACCAGCCGCTCTGTCGGCCGGCCGCAGCTCTTCCGGAAGAGTTATGCTCCGCATTGTCGTGCTGGAAAAACGGTCCGCGTAGGAAAATATTTCCCCGGCAGCGGTGACATTGTGGCCGGATAAAGGCGCGCGCGGGAGCCGTGCCGGCCGGGCCCACACACTGCGCTGATTTACCTTCGGGACGCTTTGTGCTGGCTGATTGAGACTGCAGGCTGGGCCATGCGTCTTGGGAGAGGCCACCGGCAGCTGGCTGGCCCGGCCCGGGCGGGGCGGACAGGCCCCCGCCTCCGCCTCCGCCCCCGCTCCGGGGCCGATGAGCAAGTGTCTCGACACGCACCGGTCGTCGCCTGTTTTTCGCGACGTGTGCGCATAATGGCGCCATTAGCGGCCCGGTCGGCTAAGCAGGCGCATTGTTTGGCTGGAATGTGACGGCGGCGGCGGCAGTGTTTGTCGCCGCTGCTGGCCGGCCAGGGCGCACATCGGGGGGCGCGCCGACCGGGCCCGGCCGCCCCCTGCGCCGCCGGCCGGCTCCCACACCCCCGCGTGCCGCGCCAGCCGCTCTGATGACATCGCCGCTCCCGCCTCCGAACGGAGCCGGTGCGCGCGCCGGCCCGGATTCGTCCCACGGTCACTGGCTTCCCGCGGCGGCTGCCGGGGCACGCCGCCGGTCCGGTGGCGGCCGCCTGCGCGGGCGGCGGGCCGAGCGGCGGCCGCCGCTACGGC